TTCTCCAGCATTTGTTGAACGGGTAAGCGGAAGAGTTAGTGGAAAACGGCTGATACACACGATATGATACAGTCTTGTCGCTTGCACAGAGAAAAAAACGGACTGGCTCCCCAACAAACCCGTCTGTTGACACGCCCCATCATCCGCAGCGAACAAGACTATACATGCTGCTAGCGGCAAGTCACGCCTAACCATAGCTGAACGCGCTACTTGTCTGCGCCCTCTCGTGTCTGGTTTCTTCCGGCTGCGGGCTTGCTGCGGGATGTGGTTCAAGACGTTGTGTGGATAACTAAATCCCGCAGCGAACACGCAGTGAAGACTTAGAAGTGAAAGAGGGTGCAGGACTGAAAACGAACAACCTCGAGCCTCCATACCCTTCAACTATATTTCCACGCGCTTTCGAATGAAAAGGGTGGTACACTTACACAGCTGAAATTCCGTTTTTCTCACACATGGTAAGAAGCACCCGGAGGTCAGTGAATGCCCTGTCCGAGCTCTGTCAAACCACATAATTCCTTTTCTGGAAAGGCAGACATCATGTTTCCTTTTTTCAGGTTGATGCCAGGACATTTGCATCGTGGGACGTCGATTATCTCAAAATGGATGGATGTCATTCAAGTCTTAACACAATGGTAGATGGTAGGTCGATGGAGGATTAATTTGGTTGGATTACCCAAAGGGACACGTCGCAGGTTATTCTTTATGTGGGCGGAGGACAGCTCACGCTACAGCCCGTCTTCATTGGCCCTCCCTCATTTCAACCGTAAAAAATAAGCCAGTGAGAATGAGAAAAGCCCAAAGGTAGCCCTCCCCTCCTCCTTCCCACAGGATCAGCGTGTAATTTGCCTCAGCGATTTTGCCAAATAAAGGTTTGTAATGATCAACGGGTCCGCCGGGTACATGCGTCACTGACGCAAATACGGGCGCGATTGGCCCACGCCCAGTTTTGCCTTCGGCAGAATGGTATATGCATCAAATCATTTCTTGATTCAAAGCGCAGTAGATCAGTGTTGCTACATGAATCCTTTCCTCTGCTTTGTTCCAGGCTATGCACGGATGGAAAGAGCCCTCAATGCCACTGGTCGTCCCATCATTTTCTCCTGCAGTTATCCTTATTACTTTCTCGAGAAAGGAAAAAGGTACAATCTTGTTTCCGTGCATCTATTAGTGTTGACGATTTGGCTCCACGCAGACAAGCAGGTTAGAAGTGGGCCACCTTGGACGCGAGCGGCTGCGATGCGTCTCCGCTCACAAGAGGTTGATAACCAGTGCACACGGCCGCTCTCAAATGCAGCTTCCGCTTGATCAAGCCTGCTTTCTAATTCTGAAGCATCCAGCGTCACCAAAACTCAAGAGCTGTAATTAGGGAAACCGAGTGCAGAGTCACGCCTGCCTTCATAATATGAACTTTACGCGCAGTTCGGCTTGGTGGGGGCATTTTGCTCGCTCTCATCGATCATTACCGATGCCTGGTGTAGAGACCTGTAAACTTTTGTATAGCTTCTCAATTGCGAGTTTTGTTTAGAGTTAACAAGTGTCTACAGGTCTCACCAAGGCAATATGTGTAAGTTAATAGAAACTAGTTAAGGAAACCAGCAAACTGAAAGATGCCCCCCACTACAAATGAACTAAAGATCCCCACCTCTCCTGAGCCCAACAGCGCCAAAATTTCTTTCCAAAAATGTTTCAGTTTTTTAGGTTGACTTGACCGTCACTGGAAACTCATGTAACTTGTGGCGATTCTATGCTGATGTCGAAGGCTCATGGAGATCAATTGCTGGCATAATTCGATATGTAGACGATCACCAAGATACACTAGCAGCAGCGCAAAGGCATGGTGCATGGAATGATATGGATATGGTGAGGTACATAGCAAGACTTACCCACAGGCACCTTATTCTGGTAGCACAAGGGCAAGAAAGTAGGGCGCTGTTTGTCGACGGGGGGGGGCATTTTGTACTACCATTGCTTCCCTAGTTCCGGTTTACAAATCTCACCCTGGTAAAACTTGTGAACCCTTGTGAAGCTGGTGCAAGATCGTCTAGCCACCATCCTAAAACGTGTCAACTCGAGAAAAGGCACCTAGATGGGTCGGCACATCTTTGGAAAGCAGAATGTCCCCCGTCGACAAGCTGGGTCAGAAAGTAGTAACACCATTAATCTGCTCCGGTCAGAAGAACGTTTATCCCCCAAGTTGCGGACTGCATCCCCGCTAGCGGGGAAAGATTGCGAGAAATAAGCCTTGGGTGAAGGAGAGGTTGACTCAACGCCTGCGGTGGAGCATGCCACAACATAGAGAAGTGATTTCTGGGCTGCGATCAAGACATCGGAGCGAATTGCGGCGACACGTACCAGCTAGCCCGAAACGCGGGACATTTCCTGTGCGGGTGACCTGCCTTGCTGTGCCAGGGTACAGTATCGAAATGGATGAAATGATGGTAATGTGAGCTAGAGACCTTCAGCAGGGTGCAACATTACTGAGGTCTGCTGATGGGAGTTTATTTGACATGTATTTGACCCCTCCCCTATATACCCACTATACAACTATTATTTCAGATACTTGAACTTTAGCTGATGGTGACGTCCTTTCCTTTTCCCAGTTTTCTGGGAAAGACGGGAAGTATTTTTGGAAATTGGCACAGAACTGGTGAAGATTTGGGAGAGCTCTGAGAGATGGTGGCGAGGGTGGGGGGAGGGGTCGTGCTGACACCGCCATTTCATCCATACTGCTGCTGTACCTGATTTCTTATCCTTCCATTCTAGTCTACCAGAAATAGCGTTAGGTCCGCGTCCGCAACTTAGGGAAAGAGTCGTGTTTGGAGAGAAACTGGAGAGGAACTTTTTGTATTGACGACCTTTTCGGAGGGGATACGAGTGGGGCCGCTCTAAAATGTGAACAAATAAATTGATCCTAAAAATTCCCTTCAAGGCAAATACGATACGTTTCCCCATACCCTATATAGCACAAAATGTACCCGGTGTAGCACTGCCGCATCAAATTAACTACAGCTGATATCGTCGCAGTCTGTCGGGGCGGTGTCAGGAGGCATGGAATGAGCCCAGCCATGGCATTATCTACTACTGGTTGTTTTCTTCTCGAACTTATCAATACTGGATTGAAACACTACCGCAGTGGGTCCACTCCAAGCCTCCTTGCAATGTTTCTTCGCCACGCCATTGCCACTGGGATCATCTTATCCATACCTTGATCCTCATCAGATTTATTCCAGAAATGAACGCAACGTTTTCCAGATTGTCGCCGGCTTGGGATCTCTCACTCCCGACCAAGCAAGGGTACAAATGACGCTTTGGTTAGTTCTTTTCAACCTCACTCGCTACTATGGTTGAGCAGCCTTATTTGCTGCTGAACCATAGTCAGTTTGTTCATGCGCTTGATGGGGAAATGAAAGGATAATATCAGGCCGGCATGTTTTTCTGCTCGGGGCCAGGCTCCATATTAGTAGTGGTGTAACTTCCAGGTAGAAAGCTTGATTTGAGGGTACGGTATTAACACAAGTGAAACTGTGCCGTGCCTATGTGCCTCACAGAAGGGAGCAGCTTTCTAGCGAGGCTAGGTCACGTCATGACTGCAAGTCTGCAGCCTCTCAGCGAGATGTCATGTTCTAAGTGTCTTAGTCATCTTAGGAACATGACGTGAACCTCGCCACTGTTTTTTTCATAGTAAAAGTTGATTTTTGTCCTAATGCACTCTAACGGAGGCGGCATGGCGTGACTTTGTCCCGTCAGAGCAAAAAAATATCCGAGTTTTGCTTCAGAGTGCCCTCTCTCCGGAGCAACCTGCGTCCTATTTTCTAGTGGAGATGCGCTAAAGTTCTAAAGTTGAAGTTGTACCATGGACGTTCAAGCTTTGTTCGCTCTTTTCCACGCCACCACGGTCATTAGGGCCAGGCGTGGAATCAATCTTCTGCAGCCGATCCTCACTTCAGTCAGCCGTTGAGTAGAGCATGAGGTCGGAGGTGTTATGCGAGAGATCCGCATAGCGGATATAGAAACCAGGCGAAAGATCCGCACAGCGGTATAAATAGAAACCAGTCGAATTTGACCTGGCTGCAGTTTTGTTCGCTGTGAACGCTGGGGCGTGTCGGGGGAGGGGTCTGCTACTGACAGGTTTCCAACCAACTGTGTTCGTGTGCCAGCTTCCACAGTTTTGGAGAACTAGTTGGTGCCGCGCCAAACCAAGCCCCATGACACGATCAGCGCCCAGCGAACAAGACTGTAGATGAAATGACATTGTCATCACATAAATAAAGTAGTTCAGTCGTGTCACCACTTGCCACGCCGTTTCCACGGCACAGCCTCCTGCTCTTCACCCTCAGCTGGGTGGTCGAAGGGTTTAACGGGAGAACGACGTACTACGGAGGGATTTTAACTGCCCGGTTGACCCCCAGCTTGATACGCACAAGGGCTGTTGAGCTTTACAACCTCAACCTAGCAAATCTTCAGGTCCATATGGTCTTCTCCACTCATCATGTCAAATGACTTACGTACACTGAATGCCGAATTTCGGGAAATTCTGCAGAATCGTGACGTCATCGCCATTGATCAGGATCCACTGGGTGTGATGGGGAAGTTAGTGAAGGAGGTACGGCTTTTTCCAATATCCCATTTTGGTTGAGCATTCCTCCCGCATACGTAGTTTTTTTTCAGGACTTTGATGTAAGGATCTACGCAAAACCGGTTACACCCGTTATCAATGGGCTCACCTCGTTTGCTGTTGCAGTTGTCAATATGAATGAGTATGAAGGCGCGGTGAGTTTATATATTACGTACCTGTGGCTGTGCTAGAGGACCT